AAAAAAAAAAAAAAAACCAAGGTTCTTTTTTTGTTAAAACAGCCTTCTTGGAAATGCATATATGCTATGCAATATTCCACCAATAAATTGAAAACACTGTAATCTATTCTTTTCTGAAAAAATTTTTTGCTGCTGGAAATATAACTAAAAATTGCAAGTATTCAAGACTAATTTTTATATCCTGATTAAGCAGACATATTTAGATGCAGTATCATCTATGTCAAATGTTCAAAAAAATAAGAATGAAGCAACGGGGTACTGAGTGGAATAAACTATACAGTTCTCGTAAATTACCAATTATTTTAAGTTTTTTATAAATATTTTTGTCTCATATTTTTCGGTTTTTTCCTACTACCCTTAATCTTCCTTATGTAAGTGACAATACAAATGTTGCGCAGTTTACAAAAGAACTATAAGTCTCAGTGATCCTGTCAAATCCAAAATTAATATTCTCATAAAATACAATTTACATTAAGGGAATTTTAAGAACATGTGAATTTTGCAGAGCTGTAACATGATAAATAAAAACTACAGTCCCGGTAGTGTAAGAATGCGTAAAAAAGAAAGAAGTGCGTTGTTTCAAATTTAGGAAGTTATCATCGACAAGTAAACGGAACTACGAGGAAGCAAAAATGAGCTGGCGTGACGCCAAAAGTGACTTCCGGTATGTTAAAATATAATTCGTCCACACCTGTCTGTCTACCAGACACCTTTCCAACGGCGTCAGGAGTATACTTCGGTAATTTCATAAAAACTGCTACTGCTTTAGGTTGCAATTAAGTGGATGCTTCAAAAAAAAAGAGGTAAAGGGAAAGAGGAAAAAGAAAGAAAAAAAAACGAAGAAATGGTCACAATATTTTCAGAGTACTGAGAAACCGACAGTTTATTAATACATTGAAGAACAAAAAGCATGGAATTGAGCTGCAACTCCATGGTTAAGTTTGAAAGAGTATGTATTCTGATGGGTGCTTCATCTAAGCGGTTTACCAGATCTTGCCGTAAAAAGCGGATTATCAAATTAGGGGGACTTTTGTAATGATGATGTGTTCAGACCTGACTTACCGCACAAGTTCAGTTAGATTTTTGGTTAATTTGCAGAATAGGTTCTGTTTTGTGCAATGAATTCTTTTTTTTTTT